GACAATACTTTTGAGCAATATTTATGAACCTTATCTATATGAAAAAGAATTTACTAACCTTGTCTACTAAATTACATGGTTAGTGACTATGAGGTCTATCTTTAGACAAATTTCAGCTCGAAAATCGATCATTCAGGTTCTGATCGATGCTATATGACCATAGGATGAAAATTGAGTAAAACATCCATAATTCAATAAGGGAAGGTTGGAAGTACAATCCAAAATAGATTATTCCGCTACTTACTATGATCAATATAATAGCAGTAGTTTCAAATAAAAGGCCATTTGACAGCTGAGAACATTCCTTCGTAAACCTATCTCACAAGCAATCTAATAAAACAAATTTTATTTTTTTTTATCTTAAAAAAAGAAGTTTTCAAATATCAATTGTGATCTTTGATTTTTATTTGAGAAGAGAATATTTAATATAGAATATTTCAATTCCCAAAATCATTAATAATAACAAACAAATTTCATTTCATAATTCATACAATTGAAATCTTTTATTATTTTTCTCTTTCTTTTCTAGTCAATAAACGACCCGCAGAAGATCCTCGTTTGGATAATGCAAAAATTGCTCGAGTTGAAGATGATGATATGCAAAAATTAAAAGATCGTCGAGAAAAAAAATTCGATGAAAAAAATAAAGAAATAGCAGCCGATCAAATTCGTCCATTATCAGGAGAATTATCAACTGAAGCAATTCTTAAATTACGAGCAAAAATTCGTGCAACAGCTCGTGATAAAATTGTTGATTTTAAAGAAAATGAAGATACACCAGAACCAAGTACAGAACCATTACCAATTACAGCTGATACATTTGAAATTATGAAACGTGAACGAACATGGAGAAATCGTACAACAGTTTTACAAAGTTCAAATAAAGTATATGATTAATGTTTAGTTTTTTTCTCGTTCGAAAATTTTGTCTTTTTTTGTAAATTAAGAATTTTGCAAAAAATATTCTTTTAATATTAAATTCTATTAAAGCTAAAGAAGAAAGTGAACAAAAACAAGAAGCACTTGCTGCACAACGATCACCTATTCGTGATGTAAAAATTTTTTTTTGTTTTGTTTTGTTTTGTTTTTATTTTAATTTATTATCTTATTTTATAGACAACAACTCGTGCACCACTTGAAGGTTATTCTCGATATAATCAAGAAAAATTTGTTCAACGAGATGATTCAGAATTTAAAATTGATACACATGCATCATATCATGGTTTAACATTAAAAACAGTTACTGAAGGTGCAACACCGAATAAACTTCTCGTAATTATTTATTTATTTTTTTTATTAAAAAGTTCATCATTATGCATTTTGTTTTTAAGTCAACAACAAATCCTTCAATACCTAAACCTATTATTGCTACAAATGATAAATTAAATACTTCAAATACTGATTCATCAAAACGTCCATCACGTACACCAATTATTATTATACCACCAGCATTAACATCATTAATAACAAGATATAATTGTAAAGAATTACTTGAAGATTTAAAGTAAATTTTTATATAAAATAATTTTTAATTCATTATTTTGAAAATTCAATATTTAGATATATATCAACAGAAGAAGGTAAAGCAAGTGGTACTAAACGTGATGGTGATATATTAATACAACGTAAAAAAGGAAATTTAACAGTACCATATAGAATAACTGATGATCCACTTCGATTAACAAAACAAGATTGGTATAAGAAATAATGATCGATAAATAACTAGACCATAAAAAAAAGAAAAAATTCAATATCTCCGATTGACTTTAATTGATTGAGCTGAGTTTTCTTGGTGATACACAGTGAGAAGGCGTTAGAGTTTAGTAATTTTTCGGAATCTTTGTTTGCACTAATGCTATATAGGTTTTATAAGCGGAGAGGTATTCTCTTCAAGTTTTGTCCAATTTGGAGTTGTGTAAGATCATTATCTTGAACACGTGTTTCCATAAAAACAAAAATTCTTTTTTACGAATCGATATAGAATGAAGGACAAAGTTTCAGACTATATAGAACATTCTTTGAAATATTTTCTCCTTAATGATTGTTTTTGTTCGCAGTAAAATAAGCTCATAATTTTTACTACCGGTACTTTTCGAAGAGTGTTTTCTGATTAATACTAACAAGAGGAACAAAGACTTTTATATGATTAAAAAGTACACTTTCAATTTTTCATCTACTATCGGCCTGGATGTTCCTAGCGTGATAAAGGATCTGTCAAAGTTTTTATTTATAAGAAAAACTCTGTAGAATTAATACTATTGATTAAATTGATGGCAAACATTTTCACTATGAATTCTACAACTTAAGAATGAAATTAATTTATAACTCCACGATCTTATCATTATGTAGTTCTTTAATATGATCATTTATTTTATAAATTTTATTGAGTATTATTTAACTACGATTTGAGAAGAACTATTATATATATCATGATTTCTTTTCAATACAAACAAACGAAACTGAGCTGATCTCATTGCCTTATATTTCTAAATTCGTATAATACTAAAATTTTTAGATGTTTATCCTTAAGTACGACTGAAATCATACAGGATAATAATTTCGAATAGTAATGTATGTCTTTATATTATGATCAATAGTATTAGTTCAAAGTTGTATTACATTATGAATAAAAACTTTCACGATTTCTCTATCATTAAGAAAAAGAAAAATCACACTGGAGATATTGAATTTTGCTTTTGTTTTTTGATCATTTAATTCTTTATGTATCACAATGAATGAATATGAAGTAGTTTTTCTTTTTTTTCTATAGGGAAGAACGTGTTGTTGCTGTATTTGCACAAGGACCTGCTTGGCAATTTAAAGGTTGGCCATGGTCAGGAAATCCGGTAGAAATTTTTCAAAAAGGTAAATGAAAAGAAAGATTTGCTTAGAAAAATAATAAAAAAATAAAATTTTCTTTTTTTTTTTGTTAGTTAAAGCATATCATATTAAATGGGCTCAATTAAAAACTGATGCAAATATAGCAAAATGGTGTGTACATTTAATTGAATTAGATCAAAATAAACGTCATCTTGATTGTGCTCGTATTCGAACATTTTGGGATTCACTTGATCAGTATGTTTAATTTAAGAAAAAAAAAAGATTTTTATTTTCATTTTGAATATTTCTTTTTTTTTATTTAGATTTATTGCTAAACATAAATCAACATTGAGGTATTAATTTATGAAGAATGTAATGATCAATTAAATTCAACTTATATTGTTGTTTTCCTTGTTTTTTTCTTCTTTTATTATTAAATCACATCGAGTTTTTTGTCTTTATTGTATATCAAATAAAACAGATGTAGAAACACTGCTTTCATGCGGGAGCATTATCTTCATGTAAAAATGTTCAATAGTAAAAAAAAAAATAGATGTTAACAATTAATTGACATCGATTGTATTCATGTAAATTAATAGAATAAAAGATAAGTTTTTATTTTTGACATAAAAAAAATTTTTTTTTTAATAGATAGATTTGGTTCAAATTCTAATACGAAAATTATTTCCTATATTCCGCAATTAATCAAAATAATATTTCTAAGTTTTAATTTTTAGAAAGTACGATATCCTGGTCTTTTATTGAATTTCTTTCCTTCTAAAAAATATCAAATAGGTCTGCCGACTGGATACCATTCTACAGTAGGCATTTTTTTCATAGATCAGATGTACACATGTAATGTTTAAAATTCGAAAGACCTATCACGGTGAGAGATGCTTATTCTATACATATGTAGGAAATTTTTTTTATAAGAAGATTAATACATAATACATCATTAGATGCTGATTCCAAAAATAGAAGTTAGTCTTCAATAAAAAAAGTGTTTCTATGTTGAAAAAAAAAGAGTTTTATCTAGAAAAGCTTTAGTTCAGTTCAGGAACAACATTCGTATTAAAGCTTATGGACAGAGGAAATTTCATCGAATTCGGAGTTGTAGAAGGTTGTGCAAGTTCATTACATTGAACACATAAGAGTAAAAGTATTTTCACGAATCGATAGAGGAAAAAAACACAATTTTAGATTATATGTAATTTTCTCTCGAGTGTTTTTGTTCACAGTAGAAAACTCTTCTAATCCTTACTAGCAGCGTTTTTCGATGAGATTTTCTCCATGTTTTCCAACTAATACTAACAAGATATTTTTATGTCATGAAATATAACCTGTATATCAGAGTAAATATTGCTCTATTTAAGCTATTAAAAAAATGCTCTTTGAATATTACACATAATGTCTGCCTGAATGCCTGCATTTCATTCCGGATGAATACCAATCCTATTTCAATTGGTGCATATCTAATTTCAAACGGCAAGAACAAAAAAAAGAAAAATGGTGTCATAGAATTTTAGTGATCTAGAATGTATTGAATCTATGTAATTAACACAAAGATATTAAAACCTTCGTATAAGTATTTGTCGAATTCATAATTTTGCACAATAGAAATTGGTTTCAAAGTTAACTCAATGAGTTACGTAGAAAAAACAAATTTTCAAGAATTGGAAATATTCATCTAATTTTTAAGTCTCATTGCCGTTCCTTATGCGTAATTCGGAGTAAAAAAAAAACCAGAGGAATATGAAATTTATTTTCTTGTTAATAAAGTAAATCGGATTTTTATTGATATCTCATCTCAATGACATTCATTCTTGTTTATTTTCTTTAATCTTTTAAACTAATTGGATCTCATATGAATTTTTTTTTTCGAAGTATAATTAAGCTTTATCCTTGTAAGCTATTAAAGTAATCGCATATTCTTTTTTTTTTTTAATATAAGCTTTAGAGATTCTTTTACAAACAACTAATAATACATGAATTTATTGCACGCAATCTTAGCTTTGTATTTTAATATGATTGAGAAAGCAGAAAAATAACAATTTCAATTAATATGATTTTACTATACATTTGAGTTCTTTATTGTATTTTACAAAATGAATTAATAATTAATTTAAACGAAAACAAAAAAAAAAAAAAGAGAATCACTTGATGTTTATAATAATCAATTATTAAATAGTTGTGGTCGAAAGTAATTTAATTGTATTTAATAATTGTTCATCCTAAATAAAATTATTAAAAATATTTAAATAAATGATATACTTACATGTAAACAATAGTTTTCAAAATCATCAAAATTAATACTTCCAACATGATGAAAATCAAGTTTCTAATAAAATAAAATATTGAATATATATATATAAAAAAAAAACTAAAAATAAGATATTTACTTCAAATATTAAAGCTGAATGTTTTTCAATTGTAGCATCAGTAAGTGGTTGATGAAGACAATTATTTGGTCCAAGAAGATTATATATTGAATGAAGAATTGTTTCAATTGTCTAATAAATAATACAAATATGTATATATATATAAACTAATAGAAATTATTAAAATATCATTACTTGTTTAGTTAATTTTCCAGCATCTGATATATCATAAAAACGAAAAATCCATTGAAGTTTTTCTTTAATAGTTCCACGTACTAATATTGATAATGTTTGAATATAATCCTACATAATAGAAAAAAAATATAATTAGATATTCAGTCAATCATTTTATAATTCTTCTATTCAACATCAGAAAGAAATGATTTCATTTCGAATCAATTAATATACAAGTTTATAACTATCTTTATACTTTTTAATAGTTAATAGATTTTTCAAGTACAAAAAAAAAAAAAGAAAAGACAAACAAAAATTTTTTCATTCATTTGTCAACAATAATCTAAAATAAATTAATGTAGTACTAGAACATATTATTTTTAGTTCTTCTCAGTCTATAATTGAAGTCTTAATGATAAACAAGAAAAGGACGGAAACTTTTTTTTTTTTTCTTTATGTCTTTCAACTTTCTATGCTAATTATACTTCCATTTACAATATGAAGAAATTACTTCAAATGTAAAATACATCCTTTTTCGTCTATCCAAAACACGAAATAAATAAGTTGTATAATATTGACAATTGCCATGAGGAAAAAAATGTGAATAAATAGCTTGAAATTCACGTTCAGTTACTGCACCACTTGGACATTCCTGTAAAATAGACAAAAAATATTCATAAAACAATAAAAAAAATGTTCATTTGTCTTGTATTTTTTGTTTTTCTTCTCATACCTGTTTAAATCCTTTATAAAGTAATCGTATTTCTGATTTATTAAATTTTGTTATTCGTACAATTTCTTCCAAACTTTTTGGTACTTTACGAATTTGGACGGGTAATGTTGATGTTAGTTCATTATCACTTTCTATTATAGAAATAATATTTATATATATTTTATAGACTTATGTAAATATCATCATCATCTTAACGTTTTCTATTCAGTAAATAAACTATTTTATTATTGTGAAATATAAAGAAGAAAAGAAAATCTTTTCTACAGATGTCTTCTTTCTTTTTTTTACATTATTCAATATATATATATATATATAACATATGTTTTATATCTCCCTTGTGATATTTAAACGAAAGATAAATAATATCTTGTCAATATATCTTCTACATAAGAACGTAATGTTCTTATTCATATAGAAATCTTTGTTTTTATTGTAATACTAAATGCTTTCTTTTTTAGTACTCTTGTCTTCTCGGTTATTTTTTTTACTACTCATTATTTAATTACGAGAATACGACTTTAAAACTATACATATCTATCACCATCATGTCAATTATCATATTAACATCTAGCATAGAAGAAAAAAAAATCTTGAATATGAGTTTGACCACTTACGCTCAAATGATTCCATCGACATTTTTAACGTTTTGACGATTGTAAGAATATGAAGAATGAATGCATTTAATATAATTACAACTGGTTTTTTTAATTATTCGTTTGTTCTATTGCACACAGTAGTTTCTTATGACATAATGATTTGTATTTGTGTACTGACTGATGAAATTTTTCGGAGAATTTCCGGAAAAGAAAAAGCCGAATGAATAAATTTGTCTTTTGTTTGTAATAGGAACCTGTGTGCTTTTTTTCTGTATGAATGTATATGTACGTAGTTAGATAAATTGCTTCTCTGGTCGATGAGTTTTTTTTTTTATTGTTTGATTTATCCTTTTCTGACACCCAAGCAAGCAAACACAACACGGAACAAGGAAGGAGAGAGAAATATAAAACGAGAGAGAGAGAGAGAGAGAGAGAGAAAGAGAAGAGAAAAAGAATCTGTGTCTCTCATCGTATTAGCAAAGCGGACGCGTGGGAGGGTCTGCACAGCAAATACACGCGAGACTCTCAAGCACATAGTAGAAAATAACAGGAAATAGGAGCGAGAGTCAAGCATTCTCTAGGCAGCCGTATTGTTTCACAACTTTCACTATCGGCAATAACCCAATAACATTTTCTCATAGTTAATTACATGTATTTCAAAAGTTTAGATTATTAGTTTTTTTCTATGAAAGTTTGTCTCTTTATTTTGCTTGTCAATATATTTCTTGTATTTATGTTTTCAAATTACGGATCATTTTTTTTGTTTTTACTTACTGAAATGTCGTAAACGATGCATCATTCGACAATTGACGTATTTAATTGTTTTTTTTTTTTATAAATAAAAGAGATAATAAAAACTACACAATACAACAGACTTCACTAAAAAAACGTTAAGCAGAGCATATAAAGATTCTATGAGTAGCTAAATCCCTGACATCAAATTGAATAAATGATCTTTCTTTCAAAGAAAAAAAACCTATAGGAAAAAAAGAAGAAAATAAAGAGAGAGAGAGACAGAGAGAGAAAACAAGCGAAAATCAACGAAGATGACAAGTGCTTCCTTCATATCATACACTACAACCGTGCGTTACATATCTTTTGTTGAATAGGCAAGTAGTCTACTTAGCATAAAGAAAAAAAAGAAGGACTCTTGAACATTTCCGTTCAACACGAGAATGTAGTTTTGATTGAAAGAAAAAAGGATGACAAAGTTCCAATTACTTGTATGATTAATAAACTTTGTACTCTTCTTCTTTTTTTTTTTCATAATAACTTTTATGAAAATGAATAATTAAAAAATGACAAGAACTGACAAAATCACATTTAAGGATTAGTTTTAAAAAAAAAAGTAACCTCGAAAAAAAAGGAATTTAAACTAATCACAATATTGATTAGATAATCCCATTGCACTTGACAACATGCTAAAAAGGGAAAAACAATTTAATAAATTTTCTTGAAATATTAAAGAATATATCAACTAATGTTTCTGCTAATTAATATTGCTTTAATATATGTCATTAAAATAATTACATAATGATGTTGAGTGTACGATCAAACATTTCATTTTCTTTACACTTGCTAAGTTCTGTTTTCATTTCTCTTAATCAAAAATATTTGTTTTTGATATACAACATTTATCTCCTGAGGATAAACTTTTTCCCATGTAAATTGATCTAAATCTTATGAGATGTTAGTTAATAATATTACATTATATATCTATTTCAAAATGAATAATCTCATAATGTTATCAAAAATACTATTGTGATCAATGATATAATCTGAGCAAAATGTTTATCTTAAACAAATTATAGTTTCCAACAGACAATATCCATATTGATTGGATAGATATTCATTTAAATATAAACTTTGTCGTGACTAAAGAATATTTTTTAACCACAAAATAATATTGGGCTACAAAGAAATTTTTATGAGATTAACAAGGAAGCTATCCAAACTGATATTCGCCGTTTGAGCTCATATTTCGTTCACAGGAATGTTTCGGTAAGACTAGAAAAATCTTAAAAGAATTCGTGCCCATGGATTTCTCGAGTCGAGTTATGACCGTTTTACTGAATTTTCGATCCAGCTTTAAATATTTATCGAAATATCAAATAACAGCATTTCGATTTAAAATTTCGTTTATAAAGAGTTGGAATGACTAGTCGAATATTCTGAAGATTTCAATTGAAAACAATGTTTCTTTGTTGAAATATTGAGTTTCCAAAAACTGCTCGTGTGCCATACGAATCGAGTTTATTTGAAAATTCAATATCTTGACAAAGGAACATTGTTTTTGACTGAAACTTTCAAGATATTCTGCTAGTCATTCGATCTGTTTTATGGACCACATTTCAGATCGAAATATCGTCATCTAATTTTGTAGTGAATACTTAACATTAAATCAAAAATTCAGTAAAACAGTCATAATTCGTCTTTAGAAACTCATGAGTAGGGATTCTTTTAGAATCTTTCTAGTCTTATCGAAACTTCAGTGTACGAGATTTTAAGATACTCGATATATATCAAATTTAACTTTGAGCTCTAAAACTAACTGATCATTTTAGTCAATTGTCTTTCAATAGCTTTTTCATTATTATATGCATCATAATTAAAGTGACATTTTCTGGATACTTTGTTTGCAAATCAAAAATTGATAGTTCTCTACTGTTGTTTTAACTATCAAAAATAGAAATTGATAAGTTAAAATTTTACTTGGTCAATCAACATCTTTAGAAAATGTTTGCTGATCAAGATCATTATAAGGTTTTAAGCAATGTTAGAATCCTAATTGAATTTAATAAAATAGATAAGAATTCAAAACGAACCAGAAATAATACGTTCGTTAATTAGTGCTTTGATTAGATATGAGCGGCTCAAGTATATATATATTTTATTAGGATTAAAAAATCATTTTCAGTATATCTTATTTTCGAATTTTACGGTTCGATTTTCGTTCTATACGATAATTTGTGACACATATATCTGCTCTTCTGATTAACTAGTATGCATGGAGAATTCAAGCGATTGAGCGCAAGAACTCTACGTCACGCCAATCTTCTGTTCAGAGCTACACCTAATATTAGTTATAGAGAAGATATCCGCCTATTGAATCTATCATCAGGTGTAGCATCCCATATTGGCAGGTAGCTGAAACACAGGAGTATTCATTAACAACATCTTGAATATTTTCTGCTGTTCGATTGATGGTATATAACGAAAAATTATTCAAAACAACAGACTATTAGAATGTTGCATTTTTTTTTGAATCAAAGGTATTATCGTAATCGACGAATAGAAAAATATTCTTTAAGTCTATATTTGATTAATCGAATCTTTTGCTAGTGTGATTTGTTTTTGAGTAATATATATGGTATTCTCAGTATTTTTCATGATAAACTTAACAGAAAAATTCTCGAATCGTTTGACGATTCATTCAATCTATTGATTTTTATGTAGCTTTGCTTTTTCTTATACTATAAATCAAATTTTGATAGTTCTTTTTTTCTTTTCGAACAATACAGAACTACTTGAATTTATATTCTAGCATCATATAACAGAATCTAATTGTACCCAAAACGGCGCTTCTAATGCATCGTCTGTCCATGTCCTCGAAATCATGAAAAAATTGGCGATTAATCGTGATATATCGAAACGATAATCGTGAGCTAAAATACGATAAATCGCCGATTTTTTTTTCTCCGATGATTATGACGATTTTTGTGATAAATTATGGTTTTATGATCGATTATTTTCCTTCAATATATCGATAAGGAAAATGATTTTGTTTATGTAACCTCGATTTCGACTATTATATGAAGAAGTTCCATCATTAATTTATGTTAAAGAATATTTTTATTGAAAATGTGAATACATATATTATTCTACATAAATAAAACATATCATATAAATAAATATATCAATGCAACATGCAATTTCTCTAAATTAAATGAGGATATAATCGAATACGAAAAACAAAAAAAGTTCATAGGTACTAATAGATATTTTCAATTGAGTGTCTCTCTGAAATAAATCCAGCACATAATAAGTTTTATTAATAAATTAAATATCTAAAATCAAGGACGGAGTAGAAATCATAGTTCAAAGTAGAACTAAAAGGATGGTGATAGAAGACGTCATTTTTAAGAAGAAAAGTTTTTCAACTTAGTATTAATTTAGAATTGAAGGATAATTCATTTAAAATTGAATCTACAATAAAAAAAATCTAATTGAAAAATGACTTAATCTAACACTAAATCAGATATTATTTATTTTATCAAAAAACATCTTTTAAAATAAATGAATGTGAATCTGAAGTTCAGCTCGATTGTTTTTTAAATTGTCCAATCTTGCTAATATCCTTGTGAATTATTTTTTGGTTTTAAATATGAGAACTGTTTATTAAAAACTAAATATTAAAAATCTATAGGGCACACTATTTTAAGAAAAAATCACAGTATAATAAATGTACTTCATTTATTTATATTGATCTTTGACAACGAAGACAAAGAAATATTATTAATGTATTACGTATTTTATTAATGATTCAGTAATGATATTGGTTCACTTTAGATATATTGTACGCTCTCAATGGATATGTTTGTTACACTGCACATCGAAGTATGTGAATGAAGGCTATGTCTAAAGTGAACTAATACTTAATTAAATTTTAAGATATATATTGTATTTTTCTTTGAATAATTTTTCAATAAAACTGTTGAGTAATGAGATTTCGAACAATACTTGAGGAGTATATATGGATAAATCAAACAAATGATATTGTATAGTCATTCAAGCATATATTAAGCAACTATCAGTGACCATGTTTTCTTTGTTTTTTTCTATCGTTCAGGTTAACACCTATGGAATAAAAGAGAGAAATTAGAAAAACAATGTCCGTCAAACAAAACAGATGAATGTGCATTATTTTGTATGACATATATATATATAGCGTGCTATGAATGAATAAAAAAAACATGAAGAAAATGACCTCTAGCAAGTTTGAATGTTTACCAGTTGATATTTTTTTTGAAATTTTTGCTTATTTGTCTCTTGCTGACATTCTTCAATCATTTTTATCTTTGAATAAACGCTTTTCGACAATTATTATAAATGAATATGTGTGGCACATCCATATCGGTAGTAATAGAATGTCATTATCGATGTTCAATCATTTTTGTCAAAATGTGTTAAAATTGGTAGGAGCCCGCGTTGTCTCATTACGTATTACATTAAATAATATTATTGGTGGTTGGTCACTCGTTTCATCATCTTTACGATGTCATCAAACAATCTTACTTCAACGACTTCATCTAATCAATATTAAACCACATGAATTTGATAAATTATTGCGTAGTTCTGTAATAAGACAACTACATACTTTACTAGTTGATATAACAGAACATAATCCTTTCAACTATCAAGTTGTAGAAGGAGCATATTTAGCTAAAGTAAGAAAGCAAAATATGACTTGATTTCATTATGAATTTATATATATTTTTGATAGAACATTTTTAAATATTATCATGTATATTTCTTTATCTTTATAAAAGGTATGTTCACAACTGCCTGTTCTAAAAATTTGTCGTCTTCCATTTAATTTTCGTTCGTATATTCGTGATCGATTATCAAAATATTCAGTATTACCACCATTGATGACTTTGCCATATCTTTCCAATACAACTCATCTTCGTACATTGAGCATTGGTATTAATACATCACGCTTTTTAGAACGTTTACTTGTTTGTGTACCATTTATCGAAAATCTCTCTGTTGGGGTATATGATTCAAAGAAGTATGAGAATGATAATTTTAGTATACTCAAGTAAGTAACATATAGTGATTTATACAAGTAGAAATGAAATAAAATCATTTAGATTGCCTGTCGCTGTTAATACTCATCTTCTTCGTCGTCTATTTCGTCTTAGTTTGAACTGTTTGGATAACAGAAGTTTTCATCGAGCCATTGCGCTTTTATCATCTGTATTTGGTCAACTTATTCATTTATCACTAAAATTAGAAATGTGGTCATCAGTATCTGATCCATTTGTTGTATCAGGTGATACTATTCAGCAATTGTGTATTGATCGTCTCAAACCATATGCAACCTATACTCTTAATCTATTGCTGACTATCAAAGAAGATTTAGAGGAAAAAGTAATCCTGAATTCGTTTTTTAAAGCTGCGTTTACTTATCGAAAACGACCAGCCGTAATTATTCAAGAGAATTCTCGGTTTTCTTGTATTACTTCTGATACTTATTCTTTTTTCGTTTATACTGTACCATATAATGGTACAATTCTTGAAACATCATTTTTTTCTGAAAATCTCCAAATGTATGTATGAAATATTTTCTATGAAAGAGTTAGAGATATTCTTTTCTATTTAGATCTTCTCAAATAGCAGTTAATGGAGTAAAATTATTTCCATATGCTAATGAATTATTCATCGAAGTTTGTGAAAGAGAAAGTCGTCTTATAGATCTCAGTAATTGCAGAAGTTCAATATCATTACTCGTTCCATGGTCGTCACTAAAAAAAATTTCAATTGAAAATAACAGTACTATTAGTTCAGCTCAGCTCGCATCAATATTAAAATCAGCTTATAACATACATACATTAGAAATCAATGATGAAGATAGTAATTTAGTTCATGCTTTATTAAATAACGAAGATAATCTTGGTACAATTGTTAATCGACAAGTAAGTATTTATGTTTTAAAAGAAAAATAAAAGTGAAATTTTGCTACTTGATTACTTTTATTTTCATTCATGTTAGGATTTAATTTCAAAAAAATTTTAAAAATGAAAATTTAGGTTTCGGAGGAGATAATCAGTGTAGACTTATGATTTATTCTTTTCCTAATGAGTCAACATTTTCAATTGTAATAGTACGTTATTCGACTGTATATTTTCGCTATGAATAATTTTCTACACGATTAAGAAAACTTTTTCAACTTCTTCATTCATATGATCTTGTGATGAAGACTTAAAACCTCCATCGTCAACCTTTATCTATAGCAAGGAATCGAAATACAGAATTTAAACTTGAGAATTTCTCTATGAACAGATCTAATCCTTAATAGAATAGTGTGATATTTTCAACAAAATGGTAGATATCTTTTTCAAAAGAAGAAATTTTCAGAACACAACCATATACTAAAGGAAGAATGTAATAGCTGGATTTATCTGAAGTGTAAATATCTTAAGAAGGATACATTTGCTGATGTTAAAATTATGAAGACATTCTAATGACGATTAGTTCTATGCATAGGCAAAATTTCAGATGAAAATTTTCTAAGGATTATAATTGTTAGTTACCAAGGCATATACTCCAATGTTTCTTGTCTGATTCGTTCTCTAGAGGTCTACTTCTCATCAAAAGATGCAGTCGAATTGTGTTTCTGACAATAGAAGATATTGCCTTATGCAAGATACCCTGATTTCTGATGAAATGAAACATGTTTTTCTTTAAAAGATTAATTTTTATTTATTAGATACAATCACTTCATCTAATGGATTGGTCATTGGCAATGTCTAATGTGGAAGATTTTTGCACGCTTCTCACTAATCAATTGCCCAATTTGAAAGATGTTTCGTTCGCTATCTTTAAGTCATTCCGTGGATTACAAAGCAAATTACCGCATACTGTTGTTGATCAGAATGAATCTTCGAAATATATTGTTAATCTTGTTCGTTTTCTTGTTGATCATTTACAACAACTTGTTTCAGTTTCTATAAGTTTTAAGTCGACTTCTTCTAGTTCACCCTGTTTTCCACCTACAATTCGACGACAACTGTATGAATGGCCACTTAATCGATCATATCGATTACGATGTTCGTTTGAAGAAATTCAAATATGGCTTTAATACTCTATTAATTATGTTAGGACACATTGTTATTGTAAATATTTTTTACAACGTACAAACATATTAATAAAACTAAGATATTTAATTTGATAGAGTTTCTACCAAAACATTCAAAATTGGATAAAATGTCGTTTTTTTTGTAAGCATTGTGTAGACCTAATGATTTAGGATAGACTAATTTTATGTATGAAATTATTCAATCAATTAAAAATTTAACAAAAGAAAGATGAAGTTTTCATTCAAACTATCTTTCTTTATAACGTTGAATCAAAAATTCAGTAAAACAGTCATAATTCATCTTTAGAGACTCATGGGTAGGAACTCTTTTAGAACCTTTCTGGTCTTATCGAAACTTCAGTGTACGAGATTTTAAGATACTCGATATATATCAAATTTAACTTTGAGCTCGAAAACTAACTGATCATTTTAGTCAATTGTCTTTATATATATACACATTTCTACCTATTTGAAAAAAGAAAAAAAGGTTACTTTATAGGAAAAAACTTGGTCTCTCTATTACATGTTGATCATTTGTCGTCCGCCGTTTTATTGATGATTGATCATCTGATCTATGGTCTGCTGCGATGGATTAGTGTAGCGTCATATATTTGTTTCTGAGGTACACTTGGTTGATGGCGATTCTAATTAGTCCTAACGTCAAAAACTCTAATTAAGAAAGGCACTAAAAGATATTGAGTATGGTGATAAAAAAAATGAATATAGATGTCACTAATTTCAGATTTGTCACGGAAAAGGTTCGTTATGACACCATAACATGCATGCAATGGCTATTATCGATATAGATTCGTTTTCGATCCTCCTATATTAAACTAAGTAGTGGTTTCCACAAAATTTTTCAATTTATGTTGTCTATTATGCAATAGTAATTGACTATTTGCGGATGAGCTTTATGTTTTATGCAATTTATTAAAGGAACAGGTTTATAATGAGGCGCGTAAGTCATCTCTGAAGAAAGAAAGTATAGAGGATCAGAGAGGGATTTTAACATAGAAAAGTGCCCAAGATAGGGAAGCTGCTTAGTTAAATTTCTGAAACAGAAGGGTATAACGCTCCACGCGTCGTCTTCCCTATTTATGTGCCTGTTTACAATCAAAAACACTGGTTTTTTTTTGTGCTCAATTCAAAGGACAATATAATTTGTTCACCCTTGATTATTTTCTCAGACTGATTTACTTTTCTTTACAAAAAAATTTAGTTTATATTTGTTCCAACAACATTAGCTTTTTTCTTCAGTGTTCTACAATAAGAAAAAAAAACACAACAACAGAGGTACTGTCGTCCACGCACATATTTTTTTAAAATCTTTCTCTTAAATAACAATCATCGGTAAGAGTCATGTTAACCAAGTATGCAGTTCATCTATCAGTGAATCATAGATTTGTAATCTATGATTGTTACCAATCGTTTAAAGAACAGCTTCTGATCATCTTCAATGCCTTATTGTAATATATTGTATTAAAATTTTGTAAAAAAATTTCTTTTTTTTTTAAGTTGTGACACTCAGTAAGTCATTTGCCATTAGTATTTGCTTATATTAGAAAATAATCTTTTTATAACAAAAGATTAATGGATTATCAGATCTATAAGAGTCATCAATAATTTTCTTATATCTTAAGACAAGATTGAGAAGTAACTTTATGTATTATGAGTGATTTAAATTTCTATTTGCTTTTTGTATTTCATATTGGAAATACACACATCATGGTTATCCTGCAGAAGTCCATAGAAATTCGAATGATCAACATATGTGTATTCAATTTGATATAGGTCTAGAGGCAAAACTAAAAGAGTTGCAATGAAAATGAACGGTATTATGAAAATATTAAAAATGATATGGAATATTTTGATAGTTTATCATTTACAATTGCTAAACGAAAAGAAATAGCAACTGCTAAATGTTTCTTTTTTTATCTCTTGACTTATGGTTGATCTTTGTTTCGATGTTAATATCATTCCATACAATAAAATATCTACGTTGCTAATCAGAATTTGTCTAAAGTATATTTTAATGTCGATAGTTTCTCTTGGACTTTGTGCGACTGGAGGGGAACGCCCGTTTCGATTTTTCTTCGTCCATGACCTCTTTCTCAGAAAATAAAATATATTTCGGCCGAATATTTTCATTGTTATTGATTGGCATCAATGTACAATGACTATCCGATACGTTTTAACTTATAAAGAGACAGCAAAGAAATAGTTGCATTACAATCAATTCAAAATGGCCTCATCTTCATTTCAACAATGTAACATTTCATCATGCACACATGAGGTGTTTGCTGTATGTGAATGCTGTCATTTAAATATTTGTACAATACATATTAACGAACATTCGAATCGACGTAATGCTCAGTTTACATCGCTCGTCGACGAAATCAAGACACTTACTAATCGAATCTCTTCATTTGAACTGCCTTTTCTCGTCAATCTCGAGCAATGGCGTCTTGAATCTCAACGAATACTCGATTCTTTCTGTAATGAAAAGCGTCAAACTTTTCTGAAGAATCGAATAGAAGAACTTGATCGTTTGCGACTCATCGCCGAAGATCTAGTTCGTATGCAAGGTACAACACCAGAAAACATAAATGAGATCAAAACATTGATTCATCAGATTGAACAAGATTTAACTCATATTCGATTTAATTTTCATCCTCTTATTATTGACGAAAATCTGATTGTTCAATTCTCGCAAGATCTTTTACCTTGTGTATCTTCACATCGAATGATTAAACTGACTACCTATTCATATGCTGTCTTGGCTAGCAATACAAAACATCTATTAGTACATCGAGATCCCAATTTGTGCTTACTCGATCGACAATTAACTATTATCAAGCAAACGCCATGGCCTCTTGATATTTCTGATATATGTTGGTCATCAACACTTGATCGTTTTATTGTGGTCAATCGCAAATATGTTTTCACACTAGATGAAAAAACAATGCTTCTTGAACATTATTTACCATTGGATTCGGTCAACTGGAAGAATGTTACATGTTCAGATACTAGACTCTTCTTATCAACAGAAGGAACTGGATCGTCGATCTTTGAATATACTCTCATGATATTCAGTACGTTTTACAAAGAGTGGAAGTCACCTGTTACATGCACAACGGATGAATGGATTGAAGATCTTAAGTTTAACAATGGCTTTCTAGGTTTAATCATAAATTGTTGTACAAAGAATAACAGTCGTCTTGAACTTCGATCATTAGCAATGCTTCAATGTCTTTGGTCAATTCAGCTCGAAGAAGTCTGTTCAATTTATCCGATTCGTTGTTGTCCAATAATTGATAATCAATGGATAGTAGTTGCCTGCCAGAAGCCTCGAATCTTTCACATTTCTACGGATGGAAAACTTATTAAAATCGACAAGAAATGTCGATCGCCTTCGAATATCTGCCAATTTGGAAATGATTTGCTTGCCATATGGGATCAAAATTGTATCTATTTGCAAAATCTTTGTTAAATGTTTTTTTTTTATTATGTAGAGTTCAATTGTTACTGTTATATACGTTGTTCTCTGACATAGATTGACAAAAAAAAAAAATTTATGTGTACCATTAACTCCATGTTATGTTCTATTCGTTGTTCACTTATTTTACGGACAAAATATACGTTCGTCTGTAGAAGAACATCAAAGAGCAAAGAAAGGAAGAAGAGCGACAGAAACAAGACAGATGAAGATATACAATGATATATATGGCATATTATAACATCATATAAAACAACTTAAAGAGTCGTAATAAATGGAAAAGAGAAGGAAGTCCAAAAACAAAAATACATATGTCGATAGGGTGAGTTTGCTTTGTACAGATTAGAAGCAGGTAATTGATATAAATTTATCTAAGATGATGTCACATTTTTTCAAATCTCTCAAGACTTCTTTTGCGGTCATCATATTTGTGTTTAAACATAATCAGAATCAGAAGAATTCGTGTGATTATTCAGAAGTATGAATTGATGAAAGGATCTATTTTTCAACTATACTAAATATTATTTAATAGTTCAGTTCATTATTAATCGATTCTAAATTTAGGTCAAACTATAAACTTACAACAATCTATAAATAAACTAAGTGTATGAATCATATCAAAGCTAATGTGCTGATGTATATATCACAAAGAATGGTTAATTATAGAATAAAAGAATGTCACGACAGATTAAAAACAAAAACTTGCACCGTAGGTGGATAAAAATATTACTCAGAAAGTTATGTAGTAGAAACTTTATAAAAGAAACTCATTACATTTATTAATATAAATGACATTTTAGCCGTGCTTTTAATAAATTTAGTGAGTCAAGCTTTTTATTTTTAGTAAGAAATCATTATCACACTGAGTAATCAATCATCGTCAAAAACAATGAGTAATTCATTAATTTAGATATTAAACTATTTTAAGACTTATTCAGAATAATAAAAATGAATAAAAGATCAAAGATTGACAAATAACTGATTTAATTCTTTTGATTTTATGCAAATTTTATAATTTTAATATTCAAAAAAAGCAATCTTAAAGCATCATATTACGATTTTAATACGAAAAAAAAAGTCGTAGTTATATTCAACTTTGAATAATACTTAAATATCTACTTAAATAAATAATGATTATTTATAATCTTTAATAATTTCTCATACTTCCCATCCATCATCATTAAATTATTGATCATATAATTATTTTTATTGTACTTCAATAAATTCATTTGTCAAATCTTGACTTAATTCGAATTAAAATTTTTTAAATCGACAATTTTATTTTTGTATACAGATAAAATTTCAATCAAATTCATTCATTCATTCAAACAAGATTTTTTTCTTTATAATATAAATTAATATGATTAATACAAAATTTTTGTAATCTTTTTCTCATATTTTGCTTCTACTATATAATATACACAACAACAATGAATCATTTTAACTATTGAAATCTTTTTCGATTGTTTATTGAATAGATATTGAAAATTATGTAAAGGATTCGTTTATTTATATGAAAAAGGAAAATGAAGAAAAAAAAAATGTTTGTAATCTACTACTTGGATATTTCTCAAGCACAAAAGACAAATAATAACAATATTAAGGAGAGGATAAATTATATGAAAGTTCAAGTTCTTGTGAAACGGGTTTTGGTGGATCAGGTATTAAGAAATCTTCTGGATTTTCAACATATCGACCACTTTTTCTCATTGAAGCCATCATATGTCCAATAGCAGCAGAAAATTTTACTGGTTCAATACCTAAATCACGTATTGTCGGTAAACCAGGTGTAGTTGTATCGGAGACATAAGCCTAAAAAAATCATTCGTTTTATCGACAATAAAAATAGTTATTATAACATACGCATTGCATACGATCGATATTATAAAGACTTTTATGAAACGTAGAATTTGCTATTGCTTTTACACTAAATAGAAAATTATAATTGTATTATGATTAATTCTTCAAAAAAATTTTTTTTTTGTTTTTATATTAAAATATTACTTACAAAACATCTGGTGTCAATGGTGTAATAATACTTTTTCGACGCATATATCGAAGACAATATTCAATTAATTCACGTAATTTATAACGTTCAGGTCTATGAATAATTTTACAAATAAAATAAACTTTTATTTCGATTATTTTACCCATAAATTTCATAAGTTTGTCCAACACTGTTTGGTTCTCGAATAGCTGCATATATAGCATTTGAAACATCATTAACCTGAAAAATTTCTTTAAGTTATTTTTGTTTTTATAAATAATTTAAATGAATTTTCTTACAAATATAGGTGCTTTAACAGTTTTCTCTCCTGATGCATAAAGAGGAACACGAAGAAACGACATTGGTCGAACCCCTAGAATAAATAACATTGATTATTTTATTAAGAAAAAAATTTTTTAAATAAAATTTTACATCTAGAAAAATGATATGCAATAAATCCATCATTATGTTGATGTCCAAATATAGCTGATGGTCGAAATATTGTTGCACCAGGAAATTGTTCTCTAACAGCTAATTCACCTGCATACTATAAAAGACAAAATAAAACAAAAAAATAAAAATAAAAAGATTCTTTTTATCAATATTTAATTTACTTTTGATTGAAGAAATTTTGATGGTTTTCGAACAATAATAGCTGGTGGATTAGGACTTGCATTTAAAGCTGAAAAATGAATAAGACGTTGTACTCCACATTCTCGTGCTAATCTTGCTATTGTTTCAGCTAATTTAACATGGACATCATCAAATGAAAAATTACTACAAAGAAAAAGAACATTTTTTCTAATTGAATTAAAACGTAGCATTTATCTACCGAGTTTCACTTTGACGACCAATTAAATTAATAACAACATTTGAATGTTGTAAAGCACGACGAATGGATGCTTCATCTTTACCATGAAATGGCTAACAGTAAAACAATAGCAATATTCTAATACATACAATAAAACAAAAAGTTCTTTTATTCTGATTACACTTACTGATCTGTTCTTAATTGAATAAGTAAATATTTCCTTATATCGATAGAATACATGGTCTAAGCAGGGGGGGGGGGAGATCTAGGGTTTGCTAAAGGGGGATGATCATGATCATAAAATGTACTTTGAAATCTATTAGAGATTGTATTAGCTCATTTTTGAATATTTTCTACTGAAAAAAATCGAAAAATATTTCGGAAGGAAAGAACGATTTCCCTCCCCTACCAAATTCCTAAATCCATTACTGACAAGGGAAACTCTCCGGGTGGCAAGTCACTTTTCGATTAAGACGATGTGTATTTGATGAATGTGATAACTTTTCTAGTATTTCCTATCCTAAGATATTCAATATTCGAAATTCTCTCATGTGTAAAAGAAAATTTTGTTCAATATATTTATATCTCCAGTCAGATAAACATCGTCTCAATCGAAAAGCGATTTGACACTTGAAGAACCTTCCTCACGAGTCTATGAAGAATCTGATCACATGCCACAAAACAAAAAGAGAATTTCTTACTACGAAAAGAACTTGACCAAGATCACCAAGTAGACGAAGTTCGCGTAAACCATAAACGTCACCACGATAAGGTACAATGATTTGTGAACCTTCTTTTGCTAAAAACAAAATCATCATTTTTTTTTTATATTAATTATAATTAAATAATAATACCAAGTCGATTAACAGTTGCACCACCAACAAATCCTTGTGCACCAAAAACAGTTGCTACAATTCCACTAAAACTTGATCGACCGCCACCACCACGTCTCATATCAGTTAATCGAAGTGATTTTACTTCATTTAAATCCATATTAATGGGTAAATTATCACCAACAAATGTAACCGATGTTGTCGGTTTTGTTGACGTTCGAATTGATGTATCATTTGATGCATATGCACAATCAATATGCAATATTAATGAACGTATTTTAACTAATGAACGGTTACCCGTTTTTAAAGCCACTATGGACATTATCTAATGATGAGAAGAAAAAATTCAAATTTTTACTTGGTTTTTTTTTGTTTTTTTAAATATTCATTTCTACAAATCCATTTTATGTTTCGAAAAAAAGAAAAAATAAAATAAAATAAACGCATCATACAAATGTACATTGGAATGTCAACGGGTTAAAATGAACGACATAAATTCCCTAGCCAAAAAAAAAATAATAATAATAAACAACAATGCACAAAAAAAATAGAATTCATTCGATGTGATCAATACCAACAATTAGAAAACTATCATCACCATCGGATTTCTCTTTTTTTTTCTCTAAATTTTAAAAAATAATAACACTTTTTTCTAGTTGTTTTTTTCCTTCCTTGGTTAACACACAAACAAAATAGTATTATAGACCATACACACACACACATGCTCACGCATATATAAAGATCAATAAAGGAAATAAAACAATATGTTAGAATAGGTCTTTTCTCACACCTCAATAATTTTTATATCTGCAAGAAAGATAGACAAATTAAGAATACATAACAATCGACAACCAGGAAGAAAGAAGAAAAAAAACAAACAAAAGATTGTCGACAAAATGATGGAGAAAATAAATAAATAAAAGAAAAAAAAAGATCATCAAGATGAGAATTGCAACGTTCTTGCGTATTCGCTTAATGCTTGATAAACAAATTGATATTGATCATTTGTCTGTATCATTCCACCACGATCTCGACGTAAGTCACAAAGTATACGAACAATATCAATAATATGTTCATTATCAAGTTGTTTTACACCATTGCTCAATGCAATGAAACATCCCGTACGGCCAATGCCAGCACTAGAATAGAAAAAGTTATTATTAAATTGTTGGATTGAATATAATCAGAAATAATTTATAGTTCAAAAGAACTAATTTATTTTCCACTTGAACTAATCCGACATACTTTTATTAATTGAACTTTCATTATTTCTAAAAATATGACGGATTATTCCTACTATATAAACATATTTTTTGACGCAGTCAACCTACGCTTGTTGCAATCTATCTTTAGCATAAACACTCAAATGACTAATCCTTGCTATTATTTTATTAATAGTTAGGCTATGTTAACCTATTAAATTATTTCTGCGAAGATAACAGATTGAAAAACGAAATAAAAGTCATGTGCAACTTATTTTTCTTTCTTTCAAGTCATCAACAAAAAAAAAAACTCATATACCTGCAATGAACAACAATAGGACCAAAATGTTTATTTAAATTCGACAATTCTAATCGACTTTTTTCAACATTTTTAACAAGTTCAATTAATGGTTGAGCATTATCCGGACAAGATTGATCTGGCCATGCTATATAAGATATAACATATATTTTGAAGAAAAATTTTTTGTTTCATTCTCTTACCTGTATACCAATAATGTTCAATTTCACGTTGTTCATTTTCAAACTAAAACAAAACAAATAAAAATCATATGAAAGCAAAAAAAACAAAATTTAAAAATCTTACTTCAATAATCAATCGACGTATTTCATAATCAGTTTGATATGAAATTGATTTAATTTGAATATGAAATGGTCCATATTGAGTAGGTTGACTATCTGGAATATATCTTTCACATTTTGCCTAAAAAAATTTTTCATAGAACAAAATTCTTGGAAATTTTTATTTTTACTTTATTTTTTTCAAATAAACGAGTTATCATAATAATAACTGGTACATGTTCTTGCCAAATCATTCGATAAAAATCAATAATTGTATTGGCCAATGGGCCCTGTGTTGCTATAAATGCATGATATTCATTTGGATAACCAGTAACATAATTTGCATTGATATATGATGAAAGTGGATCACCAGGTAGTTCAGATAATTTTACACGAGAATGATCATCTTTAATAAAGAAAATTAATAAAAAAAAAAAAAGATTTTATTGCATTTTATTCTTACTAGCTATAATTGTACCATAACGATTTTTAGTACCAGCACCACAAATACGAAGTTTTTCAAGATGATTTGTTGGAATTGTCTAAATAAATATGATTTTGTTTTCTTTTTTTCTTTTTTGTATTTTTCGAAATACAAACCCAAAATTCATGATAAAGTAATCGAGCATCTTGTGCATGTTGATGAAGTTCATCAATAGTTAATTTTCTTGTTGCTGTTAGTAAATATTCATCAGATGGACTAAAAAAAGAATATATATATATATATATTAAAACAAAATTTTGATTTACCAATCCACTGGTGGACTATTAAGAAGACGATGTTTTGGAGCTATTGAGATTGTTAACGAATTATTTGAACCTCTCCTAAAAAACAAACATCATAATTAATGATAATAATAGTTTGTTTTTTTTTGAATAAATATTGTCAATATGACCTTGAACGATAACAAAAAGATAAATAGTTCAAGTTTAAATTTTACATAGGATTTCTTAGCGTGATAGACATATTGTTTCAAAACTAAATTGCTGTGCTTCATATTCCGTTTCCGCTTCCAACGGAAAGAAAAATGTTTTTCTTTTTTACACGATATATATGTGACATCATCTTTCGATATATGGAAAATCTACTTATTCTTAATAACTATTTCATTTCATTGTCTATGATTAATATTTTTCTTATTCATAACAATTATAAATATTCAATATTCGTCGTAAAATATTATTAAAAGAAAAACATAACGTACCTCCTCTTAAATAATAATGATGTTGGTTTACTCCAATACGTACAACAGACGGTTGGTGATTCCACTTCCATGGCTTTTCTATACTAATCCGTCTGCTCTTTTTTTTTTTTATGTTGAAGTATTTATATAAATCTTAGAATGTCATCTAATATATAATGGAAATAGTTTTTTTTTTTAATATACATATTTGTAATACTTCATTTAGTCATGCTTTTTTTTTATGAGATAATGTGATTCGAGATCAAACGTCAAAGATTTGTAGATATGATAATCTAAACATACTCTTTCATTATTGTGATAAAAAAAAGCAAATGTAAAAGAAACATGAATATTTTCTTTTTGATTTTTTCTTTTTCATTCTTTCTCTGTCTCTCTATATTTCTCACTTTTCCTCCCTCGCTCTCTGTCACTTTCTTTTTCTGCTTTTTTCTTTTTTTTTACTTATGATTATTAAAAAGAGCAGTTATAGTGTAACAAACAGAGAGAAAAAAATTCTCATGACTTTTTAGATATTATTATGTCATTGTGATATTTCTATTAAATTAACAAAATGTTAAAGCTCTATTTGTTAACATTATCTAATAAGTTTATTATTCATTCATAAGTTCTATTTGTGTTACACAATTCATAGAAAATTTTTCAATTAAATAATGTCTTCTTTCTTTATCCTATAATTCTTTTGTATTATTCATAAGCAAAATATTAAAAAAAAAAAAAAAAAGAAAGAAAGAAAACGCCTACATACAATAAAGAAGCAAAAGCCTATTCACTTTTGATTTCTTTCTTCAAGTATATATTTTTTCTATTACTAGTATTGACAAAGATAGTTTTAAAGCTTTTTCAAATAAATACATATTGTTTGTCACTTCCTCACCACGTTCAACAAGACATATATAAGTAAACACATTTGTAAGCGTAGGTAGAAAAAGGTAGGTAGAAGAAAAAAAAGTGGAGGTGGTCAAAACAACAAGCAAAAATAATTGTTTTCTTTTTTTACCACCTATCGATTCGTACAAAAAAACCTATACGCATATTTTTTCATCAGTAATTGATTTTGGACAGCTGTTTGATGATTCTCATCGAACGCCTACAAGTTTTTTTTCACAATAGTCCAAAGAACATAATTTAAACTACCGTACCTTTCTAAGAGATTTTTTTTTCGAAATTTTTTTGTAGCTATAGCCGTTGATGATGATGATGAATCAGCTGTTGAACATGTATCTGTCGTAAATCGATCATGATTAAGATTATTATAATTATTATCTTCAATAGTAGGTAATATGAATGATGATGAATTTGGTTGAATTAATTTTGGTACAATAGGAAATAATTTTATTTCTTTTGGTCTCGATGCTTTAACATTAATAGAATGTGTTGTAAAAGATGATAATTCAGATGGATGAGATTTTGTTTTTGATAATTTTTGTTGTTTTGAACACCAATAGATCTGATCAAGATTTATTTCAAAGAAAATCGACTAGGAAATTAAAACTTACTACAGCTACAAATGTTACAATAAATGTTAACATAATACTTCCAATTGATAGAACTATAAAATTTCTTGTCCAAAATAACGTAGTATCAATGTCATTTTTCGTATTTGACTATAAACAAAGAAAAAAAGAATATGTCTTTTCGTATTTATTACAATGATTTCTACTTCACTCAACATACTGCATCGATTTTGACAGCTGTCATTAACAAATACGATTTTCTCTTTATTTCTTAATATATATTTGACATTAAGAATTCTTTTTTGCCATCAGTAAAAGATCATCTTTCAAAATAACAACAATTTGCCTACTCATCATTTCTTTTGCAAGAAAACAAGAAAAAAAAAACAGATAGATATAAGTGTCGTGTTTTTTTTTCTTCTTCTCCTTCTTTTTTCAATGAACTGCATGCATTAACAATGCCTACTGTCGTATTCTATTATTATTTTTCTATGGATACTCAAAATAGATAAGAGAAGGAAAGACAAGCAATAGCATAGAACACACTTATTATTTAACAAGCATTCTATCAAGGAAATATGTGATCGAATAAAAACGATAATTTGAACCTACGCATGCAAGAGCAACTATATATCGTCAAATAGAAAGTAGATGCCAAGGAATATGAGAAAAAATAAATAAAATAAAATACAATGCATCAAGTGTTAGTCATTATATGCTAGCAAAACAAAATTACAAATGATGACCGAATAACTTACATTGACTAGGTATTCTCTATGGACAAAAAACAAAAAAAAAGAAAAAGAAAAACATTATAATTCTCATGTTCTTGTAAAAAATAAATTCATTCTTTTTTTTTTTTTAATTCTATGTTAACACGTTTATTTCATAGAGTGATCAATTAACTGATATTACTTTTATAATTAATTAAAAATAAAAATGTGTATTAATACATTTGACAGTCTTCTAAACTCACTTGATCTCGTGTAATCAATGTCATTGTTACTGAATCAATGATCTACGACGAATTTTATATTGGTTACCGATATTGCTTTAGGGCTTAATATTTCGTTCATATACCACCATCTTCTACATGTGAATGTAACCATTGAGAACAAAATAGAATATATGTGTTTATGTGCTATATAGTGATAGATAAAAGTGAGGGGGTGGGAAAAAGAAAGACGGTTGAAATGAGATTATGAAGCCGAATGAGACTTCGAACACGCACAAAGAACGCTAGCGAGGGCGATAGATAATTGAAATAAGAATAACGGAAAAAAGAGAGTGATCCGGTCGAACGAATCATCGTCATCACGTCTAACATTTACTAAAATATTATTAGTCATTCACATATTCTATATATATATCCTGAATAAGAAAATAACTATTATATTGATTGTAAAGAATACAAAAACAAACAAAGAAGAAGAAAAAAAAAGAGGAAAGCTGAACATCCAAATCGGCACATCCTTGGTTTTTCTATACTAACCTGCTGTTGTTGTTGTTCTTGCCAATTGAACAATCTTTTTTCTGGTGATGATTGTGATGTAATCATATTCAAAACAAAAAAGAAGATTTTTTCTTATCAATTCTACAAAATTGAAATTAAAGATTAATTTCAAAAAAAAAAATATATATAAAAAATAAAAAATAAACAAAATCAAATTATATATTACCTGAATTAACAATAGTTCTATTCTATTCAATCGTACATTCATCATAGATATTCAATAGGTTTTCATCTATCAATAAGGAAAAAAACCAATATCAATCCATTTTAATTTATAACGAGAAAAGTCACATCTGTTTCTATGTTCTGTATATAATGTCACAAAAGCCTATTTTGTTTTCCAACCTGTAGTAATACTATACTGATCATATAATCTTTTGTTCGATCGATGATTCTATATAAATCTAAAGAAGAAGAAGAAAAAGGAAAAAGAAAAGAACTGCTTCATTCCTTTTGCTTTATATTAAATGAACACATTATAACATAGAGATATATAAACAGAAAATAAGTTTTAAATTTGTTTTTCTTTGTTAAACACGACTAGATTGGAATTAGGAGGGATAATGACAAACAAAATGGAACATTTTTATAAAGTGACAAAAACAGATAAATTTTACATGTGAAATATATAATGATGATAAATTGGAAAAATATATATATATATATCTGTTCAATAGTTCCCATGTCAGGAAGATATATCCTGCTGAGTAGAAGGAATTATAGTATTTAGATCAGAAGTAATACGAGGAAAAGAAGAAGAAGAAGAAGAAGACGAAGAAGAAGAAGAATTTTCTTGTGATGTTATATTCGTCGTTGGTAATATTGGAGATTTACCAGCCGTAGACTAAAATAAATAAATAAAAAAATATTTTAATGAGAAACAGCTATAAATAGAAAATAATAAAATACTTGAAAAGGCTAAGTTTATTTTTTTAATTTTTTAAAAATCACGTATTTGTTGACAAAAATTGACTAAATGTCTATTTAAGTTTTACAGAAAAAATATAAAAGAAAATTTTAAACTAGTTTATCGGGTAAAAAAGAACAAGTCATATTGTGTTATTCACACTTGAAAAGCCAGTGGTATACTCGATGTACACTTCAAGCTCTATGAACGTCGAGTGTTAGACGAAAAAAGTGTTAGAAATATTTCCTCAGCTAATGATAATTAAATATGATGCGATATATATATATATATAGAATAAAGCTTATTATTAGATCTTTTTGTTTTTTTAGTCATTTTGTTTTTTCATAGATTTTGACATAATAGTTTCTAATATAGATTAGCGATGAAGTATATTTTTTATGGCTTTTACATAAATACTATTTTATCACAGAATAAGTTTTCTAGTAAAAATATATTAAATGAAGCTACATATTAAAAATCACGAAGATCTCATAATACATTGCTAAGATTAACTTTTTCATTAATTTTATAAGGTTTCATCCGAATATTTTTTTCTTTTTCTTCATCTTAAATTTACTTAACAACGACAGTTATTATGTGGTATTAAGAAAATTGTCTTTTAGAGGTCATATTTCAACAGTTTAATAATGATAAAGAACAAACACTAAAAGACTATTGGATTTCTAAGTATCTTTGAATACATTCTGTATACACTTGTATGACACAAGAAATCGATCAAAGATAATATTTGAAATGATTCACCTATCATGACTAAACAACAAATGAATTTCTCTGTTTTACAAGAAAATATTTTCAACTAATCAGTCGGTTTTTTTAAACGAAGTTAATGGATTATAGATCATTGATTCTAATGATTCCGAATATGATCATAAGAAATCTTCTCAGATCTTCATATATTGGTTGTTTAAATTAACAAACATTTCGCCAAAAAAATTGTTTTTTCTCTGTTCAGATTATAGAACTTATCGAATTGTGCAGAAAATCGTAACTTTTTCTGTTATAAACTGTTTTGTTTTAGAAGAAAGTACAGCTATTTTTAATTCATACAACAGATACATATCAATAGTCTGGAAAATCGGTTTTCTAGAAAACTAGCATATATAGTCTTAAGGAAGTTTCACATGGTCATATTCGAAATTCACATGATTAATAATTTAAAATTCATTAGCTTTCATTAAAACAAAAGAATCAATTTGTTGAAAACGTTCCTTCGGTAGAAGAAATTTTTATCGATCATTTTAAAATGATTAAAGATTTTGACTTGATATTTTCTTGATTGATTATCTGAATAAAATCTTAACTCGAAATATTTATCAAATAATTTAATAAAACATCTATAGGGACATTAATGTAGTTCTCAATAAAATTGATTGCAAAATCGAGAAGGATAGAAAAAAATTCATTCCCATGAGATATCACCTCTAACCTACGATGTAAAAGTAGTGGCAAAAAATGTCGATCCCTATTTCTCTTTGATAAAAGGGTGCTGAAAAAAAAACTTTTTTTTTTTTATCAAACACTAGAGCTTTTTCTCCTCTTTCGAATCGTATATAATTTATTTTATAACATATACATAAACGAAATAATACAATAGAAAAGAGAAGTATCTCTAGAGAAAAATCCGCGCCTTTTCTATACAAGGATTGCAAAAAATGTCGATGCTGAGAGCGCTTCGATAAATAGATTCTAAAACACGAGTATTTTTATTTATCAATTAATAGGAAATTTTCTTCTCTTTCGAACATCGTTTGATTCATATTTGTCACGCTTTGATAAGTGAAACGAGACAAAAACAAAAAGAAAAACATTCTTGAAATAAATTTGTAATTTTTATATAATATATTCGTCAAAAACATCCTGCTAGACAGCAATTAAATCGATCTTTGGAGACTCATTAAAAAGATTTTGTAAAATGATGGTTATTTTTACGAATACATTTAAAAATTACAAATTTATTTCGAGAATGTTTCTCTTTTTCATTTTTCATCTCGTTTCACTTATTAATGTGTAACAAATATCAAGGATACACTGTTCGAAAGAGAAGAAAATTTTCCTATCAATTAATAAACAAAAATATTTTTTTTTAGAATCTATTTATCAAAGAGCTATAGAGATCGATATTTTGTGTCATTACTTTTGCATTGTACGTTATGTTGAATAGAAAATATTCTAAGATATAAAGAGTTTCGTTAGAAATATAAATATTTACTTGATTTGAATATACATTAGATTCTCATTACACCTTTTTACTAATAAAACGATAGACAACAAAAATCTTATATTTATTATTTCAAATAAATCACAAGAATTTTTAATAAGTTTGACAACAAAACAGAAACCTGACTCTCCTATTGATCTAGGAAGAAAAAATATATGATTTTTCATTTTCTAAAATAAATAAATTACAATATATATTTACTTCGTCAATAAGAAATCCGATGACAAGAATAATTTTAATATTTTCTGAATTTAACAAGATTATTGTCTTGTCTTTTACTGCATAATTTTCTTTTTGACTTCAAACAAAACAATTCAGACAATAGTGTAGGTAGAAAGAAAAACATCATAATGTATTCATTAATAATTCGTT